TCACTGCCAAAGGTGCTTCAACAAAGTACTGAGTAAATGGTATGAATACTTATGTAAATGTAATATTGAAGTTTATTTGTAATATATCTAGGTCAAATAGGGGAGAGGCGTTGTGCTGTGAGGTGTTGCTTTATCTGTTTTTTTAAGCTAGGTTTGCTGTTCATTTGAGCAATGTGAGATGGGAGTTCCATGCAATAATGGCTCTATATAAAATACTGTACGCTTTCTTGAATTTGTTCTGGATTTGGTGACTATGAAAAGACCCCTGGGGGCATGTCTGGTGGTGTAATTGTGTGTGTCAGAGCTGTGCGTAAATTGACTTCGCAAACAATTTAGAATTTTCAACACATGAATGGTTCTTAATAACAGAAGAAGTGATTCAGTCAGTCATGCAGCCAGCAAAACATATTTTTATTACGGACAGACCTCTCTCCCATCTTTACAACCATTGAATCTATATGTTTTGACCATGACAGTTTACAATCTAAGGTAACAATGAGTAAACTCATATCTTGGAACAGCACCTTCAATGGGAAGTATTGAACAAGTATTGAGAACCTTTGATGTTGGATGTGTTGAACACACATGGCCCTACTCATAATTCACTCACAGAACCCACATCCCCACACACATTTAGGGCTAGATTCAATCCGTATCGCTGAAGTTCAGCACTCTGGCTGAACATTGCCTTTACATTTATATCGTGCTGTAGCACAGCTCTTCAGCGCTGTGGATTGAATCCAGCCCTTAGTTTCACTTCCCTTTACTTGGCATAATGCTTTTTTGCAGAAAAACACGTCAAAAATATTGGTTGAATAAAATACATTGTACATCAGGGATAGGCAGTTAGATTTAGCCGCGGGCCGATTTTTGTCGGAGCAGGTTGTTGGGGGGCCGGAACATAATTATACTAATTGGTACACTGCAAATTGGACACAACTACAGCCCAAAATAGATTGTTATTTTCAATTCAATCATTTCATTGAACCACGATCACATACACTATATATACAAAAGTATGTGGACACCCGTTCTAATTAGTGGATTTGGCTATTTCAGCCATACCCTGTTGCTGTCAAGTGTATAAAATCGAGCACACAGCCATATAATATCCATAGACAAACATTGGCAGTAGAATGGCCTTACTGAAGAGTTCAGTGACTTCAATGTGACACCGTTATAGGACCTTTCCAACAAGCCAGTTTGCCCTGCTAGAGCTGCCCCGGTAAGTGCTGTTATTGTAAAGTGGAAATGTCTAGGATCAACAACGGCTCAGCCGCGAAGTGGTAGGCCACACAAGCTTACAGAATGGGACCACCAAGTGCTGAAGCACGTAACAATCGTATGTCTTCGGTTGCAACACTCACTACCGAGTTCCAAACACCATGTGCAATGCCAAGCGTCGGCTGGAGTGGTGTAAAGCTCGCCGCCATTGGACTCTGGAGCAGTGGAAATGCATTCTCTGGAGTGATGAATCACGCTTCACCATTTGGCAGTCTGACGGACAAATCTGGGTTTGGCGGCTGCCAGGAGAACGCTACCTGCCCGAATGCATAGTGCCAACTGTAAAGTTTGGTGGAGGAGGAATAATGGTCTGGGGCTGTTTTTCATGGTCGGGCTAGGCCCCTTAGTTCCAGTGAAGGGAAATCTTAATGCTACAGCACACAATGACATTCTAGACGATTCTGTGCTTCCAACTTTGTGGCAACAGTTTGGGGAAGGCCCTTTCCTGTTTCAGCATGACAATGCCCCCGTGCACAATGCGAGGTCCATACAGAAATGGTTTGTCGAGATCGGTGTGGAACGGGCCTGCACAGAGTCCTGACCTCAACAGCATCGAACACTTTTGGGATGAATTGGAACGCCGGGGCCTCCCGAGTGGCGCAGCGGTCTAAGGCGCTGCAGTGCTTGAGGCGTCACTACAGATCCGGGTTCGATCCCTGGCTGTGTCACAGCCGGCCGCAACCGGGAGACCCATGAGGTGACACGAAATTGGGGAGAAAAAGGGGTAAAAAATAAACAATAAATAATACGATTTGGAATGCCGACTGCGAGCCAGGACCTAATCACCCAACATCAGTGCCCGACCTTACTAATGCTCTTGTGGCTGAATGGAAGCAAGTCCCCGCAGCAATGTTCCAACATCTAATGGAAAGCCTTCCCAGAAGAGTGGAGGCTGTTATAGCAGCAAAGGGAGGTACCAAGTCCATATTAATGGCCATGATCTTGGAATGAGATGTTTGACGAGCAGGTGTCCACATACACTACATGACCAAAATTATCTTTTTTTCCCCCATTCTTGGGAATACTTGGAACAGATTTCCTAAATTAAACTAATCTTTAGCTGAATTCCTGGTGATTTTTGTATTTTTAACAAAAAACTAAAAACAAAACTCCCCCCCCCCCCTCCCAAAAGGAAATATCTACACTGCTCAAAAAAATAAAGGGAACACTTAAACAACACATCCTAGATCTGAATGAATGAAATAATCTTATTAAATACTTTTTTCTTTACATAGTTGAATGTGCTGACAACAAAATCACACAAAAATTATCAATGGAAATCAAATGTATCAACCCATGGAGGTCTGGATTTGGAGTCACCCTCAAAATTAAAGTGGAAAACCACACTACAGGCTGATCCAACTTTGATGTAATGTCCTTAAAACAAGTCAAAATGAGGCTCAGTAGTGTGTGTGGCCTCCACGTGCCTGTATGACCTCCCTACAACGCCTGGGCATGCTCCTGATGAGGTGGCGGATGGTCTCCTGAGGGATCTCCTCCCAGACCTGGACTAAAGCATCCGCCAACTCCTGGACAGTCTGTGGTGCAACGTGGCGTTGGTGGATGGAGCGAGACATGATGTCCCAGATGTGCTCAATTGGATTCAGGTCTGGGGAACGGGCGGGCCAGTCCATAGCATCAATGCCTTCCTCTTGCAGGAACTGCTGACACACTCCAGCCACATGAGGTCTAGCATTATCTTGCATTAGGAGGAACCCAGGGCCAACCGCACCAGCATATGGTCTCACAAGGGGTCTGAGGATCTCATCTCGGTACCTAATGGCAGTCAGGCTACCTCTGGCGAGCACATGGAGGGCGGCCCCCCAAAGAAATGCCACCCCACACCATGACTGACCCACCGCCAAACCGGTCATGCTGGAGGATGTTGCAGGCAGCAGAACGTTCTCCACGGCGTCTCCAGACTGTCACGTCTGTCACATGTGCTCAGTGTGAACCTGCTTTCATCTGTGAAGAGCACAGGGCGCCAGTGGCGAATTTGCCAATCTTGGTGTTCTCTGGCAAATGCCAAACGTCCTGCACGGTGTTGGGCTGTAAGCACAATCCCCACCTGTGTACTCCTGAGTGGCGCAGTGGTCTAAGGCACTAGCAGTGCTAACTGTGCCACTAGAGATCCTGGTTTGAATCCAGGCTCTGTCGCAGCCGGCCGCGACCGGGAGACTCATGGGCGGCGCACAATTGGCCCAGGGTAGGGGAGGGAATGGCCGGCAGGGATGTAGCTCAGTTGATAGAGCGTTTGCAATGCCAGGGTTGTGGGTTCGATTCCCACGGGGGGCCAGTATAAAAAAAATATGTATTCACTAACTGTAAGTCGCTCTGGATAGGACGTCGGGCCCTCATACCACCCTCATGGAGTCTGTTTCTGACCATTTGAGCAGACACATGCACATTTGTGGCCTGCTGGAGGTCATTTTGCAGGGCTCTGGCAGTGCTCCTCCTGCTCCTCCTTGCACAAAGGCGGAGGTAGTGGTCCTGCTGCTGGGTTGTTGCCCTCCTACGGCCTCCTCCACGTCTCCTGATGTACTGGCCTGTCTCCTGGTAGCGCCTCCATGCTCTGGACACTATGCTGACAGACACAGCAAACCTTCTTGCCACAGCTCGCATTGATGTGCCATCCTGGATGAGCTGCACTACCTGAGCCACTTGTGTGGGTTGTAGACTCCGTCTCATGCTACCACTAGAGTGAAAGCACCGCCAGCATTCAAAAGTGACCAAAACATCAGCCAGGAAGCATAGGAACTGAGAAGTGGTCTGTGGTCACCACCTGCAGAACCACTTCTTTATTGGGGGTGTCTTGCTAATTGCCTATAATTTCCACCTGTTGTCTATTCCATTTGCACAACAGCATGTGAAATGTATTGTCAGTGTTGCTTCCTAAGTGGACAGTTTGATTTCACAGAAGTGTGATTGACTTGGAGTCACATTGTGTTGTTTAAGTGTTCCCTTTATTTTTTTGAGCAGTGTATATACCCGTAGTCCGCCTGTTGCCGACCCGTTGTACAACCTGAGTGTGCACAGGGCCAATGTGTCAGACTGCTTTATTACTGCGATGAACAATATAGGACACTTCTCTAATGTAAAACTGCAGATAGAATGTGTTATGTTTTCTTCTAAATTACCAACAGATAACGACGCACACAGAAGTAAACTGTCAAACTTTATTTGAAGATCAAAACCAAGCTACAGCAGGAGGACATGTCCATATCGTAGTGAAACAATATGCAAAGTGTGTGAAAAGGCTGCAATCAAACACTTTCAAAATGGATTAAAAAAAACATGCTCAGAGAAAATGTATGTAAAGATAATGTCGATGCACATGGCCACGGTAAAATTCACCTTGTCTGTTTCAACCATCCCCCCAAAAAGTTGACGCTAAAGCAGTAGGATACCAAAGAAAAAATTACATTTCAGAGAACTTTTGGTTAGCAAGTTTTGCAATGCATTCAATTGTTCATTCATTGTTTATAATAAGTAATTTGTGATGATTTGTCAGTATATGCAACTTGCAACATGGTGGATCACCAGGTCCTATAAACAGGACACAGGTGGAGATCAGCCCAGGTAGAGGAGGGGGATGGGGGAGAGAGGGGGGTGGGGGGTTTGGAGGGGTAAGGGAGGCAGGGTCATAGTGGGAGTAGGAAGTTGGGGATAGAGATGGGGGACATGGGGAAGGGGGGGCTGATTTCGAGGCTTTGTCCTCATTTCTTCTTGGGTTTTGCCTCCAGGGGCAGTCCAATATCTTTCCCGCGCAGTTTCAAACCTGAGAACAAAAATCTGTGATGTCAGACACAAAAAAGTACCAATGGTAAAATCAAAAGTACTGATGAATAAGGTGGCATCATCCTACTCTGAGACCTGATAAAACAGGTTGATTAATAACAATGTCAGTGTGACAGTCTGTCCCAGATTCCACTCACCGATTGCTCTCTCAATTTTGCCCATGACCTGATTGTTGGGAATTGCTTTTCCACACTCATAGTCTGCGATGACCTGAGGCTTCTCATTAATTTTCTGAAAGTCAAAGCCAAAAGAGACATCAGTAGAAATCAGTGACCTAAAAACATGATGATATTTAGACCTACAGTCCAAAACTGTTGAAATGTCAGTCATCACTGAGGCCATATCTCATTTAAGCTATATGCATCTCGGAAGTGTCCTCCTCTCATCTACATCTGTACTGATGTGAATGTGTTGGACATTGTTTTCACCTACCCTGTGTTTTCAGACGTGCAGAGGAGACGAGGTGGAAGCCACAAAAATTCTTCCTACAGAAATGCACCAATGTCCTAATGCTATGGTATTCAAAGTTGGGGGGAACTGCTGTGGGGTGCCCCCCAATATATATACAAATTAATAGTACAGATTAATATATGGGGTAATATACAAACGTTTTTGAGAAAGATTTTCATTTTAATAAGGGATTAAAATGTAATGAATTGAGGGTTATTTGTTGATGTAAAAATCTAAATGTACCGATTTTAAGGTTGTGTCATATTTGGGGTGGGGTGGAGTCACGAGAAGTTATTGCGAATAAAATTGGGTCCCGAGAAATTCCGGCGGAATAATTGGGGTCCCTGCTGAAAAACGTTGAATACCACTATCCTAATGAGTCATGTGGGTCTGCGGCAGCTTTACTCACAGTGGCCAGGTCTTTCTGGGTGAGGCCGCTGTTCTGGCGGCCCAGCTGGATAACCTTGCCCACCTCCAGGGAGACCCTCAGGTGCTGCAGCTCCTCCGTCTCCCGGTCCAGCTTGGCGGTGTTCTTGGTCACCAGGTGCTGCTTGTTCTGCCCTGCAGACCCTGTGGACACAGATTAATTGGCATGGTTAGTAAAACGAACCATAACACTCAGAAATCAATCCATCATGTTCCAGACCTCCAAGTAGGGGAGATGGTGGATTGCACGTTGAAATTATTGCTATATAGAATAAGGCTTACATTTCTTAGTAGTATCGAGGTCTTCTCCACGTCTCTGTGCAGCTGTGATAGCCTAGAGAAAACATGGTACATTATTCAACACTTTACTATCCCATAACAAAGGGATACATTTAGCTAGTATAGCTGATGAGTAGTCCAGGCCAAAGGGGCTGACACAACACAGAATCCAAACACAGGCCAGCTACAAAAACGCAGAAACATTTTTAATGGTGTTAACAATTAACACAAATTCAGGAGAGAGGACTAGACTTGAATCAAATATTATGGATATACTGACAAGATAATTTTCTCTGCCCTAACAATTGGAGTCGTTGTCCACAAAGCATCACGGCGGGCTGTCTAACTCCCGCCTATCCTTTCTTTGGATTGGTGGATACATTTAATTTTTTTAACACTAGATGAGGATTGTTGACATCAACCGCCTGTATTCACTGGAGAGGCTAGCCTCATGCCATGAATATGCATGGCCATCTCGAGACAACTCCGATATAAAGTGTTTTTTCTCAAAGTTGCGTTGATGTCACGTATCCTACTTCCAAATGAAATCAAATTTGATTTGTCACATGTGGCAAATACAACAGGTGTAGACATTACCGTGAAATGCTTACTTACAAGCCCTTAACCAACAATGCAGTTCAAGAAATAGAGTTAAGAAAATATTTACTAAATAAACTAAAGTAAATACAATAAAAAGTAACAAACAATAAAATAACAATAACGAGGCTATATACAGGGGGTACCAGTACCAAGTCAATGTGTGGAGGTACAGGTTATTTGAGGTAATTTGTACATGTAGGTAGGGGTAAAGTGACTATGCATAGATAATAAACAGCGAGTAGGGGTTCAATGTAAATAGTCCGGGTGGCCATTTGATTAATTGTTCAGCAGTCTTATGGCTTGGGGGTAGAAGCTGTTTAGGAGCCTTTTGGACCTAGACTTGGCGCTCCGGTACCGCTTGCCGTGCGGTAGCAGAGAGAACAGTCTATGACTTGGGTGACTGGAGTCTGACAATTTTTGGGCCTTCTTCTGACACCACCTAGTATATAGGTCCTGGATGGCAGGAAGCTTGGCCCCAGTGATGTACTGGGCCGTACGCACTACCCTCTGTAGCGCCTTACGGTCGGATGCCGAGCAGTTGCCATACCAGGCGGTGATGCAACCGGTCAGGATGCTCTCGATGGTGCAGCTGTAGAACTTTGAGGATCTGGGGACCCATGCCAAATCTTTTCAGTCTCCTGAGGCGGAAAGGGTGATGTTGTGCCCTCTTCACAACAGTCTTGGTGTGTTTGGACCATGATAGTTCGTTGGTGATGTGGACACCAAGGAACTTGAAACTCTCGACTCGCTCCACTACAGCCCCGTCAATGTTTTTTTTTTTTTTAGGGGTAGATCAGCTTTAATATTGTAGATAGATTTTAACTTCCATCAATGTAATTGTCTGCATCACTTCCAATCCCCCATTTGTTTTTTCTTTATCTTTTTTTTCCTCGCATACACACACACACACACACACACACACACACACATATATATACACATCCTTTAAAAAAATATGTATTTCCCTTTATTACTTTCCAACCCCACCATCCCCTCCCTAATTGGAGTAAACAACAATGCTTAGGCCTCTACTTCATGCTTATACATACTATATACATTTTATGGACACAGTCAATAATTATATTTTGTTGGTTTTTATTCCTGAACTTCCTCCGATCATTTTCGCATGTCTTACACTAGTTATCTTGTTGTTATTCATTTTTGTTAGTTATTAGTCCCATCCTTCAGCTCTATTCAACACCTCCCATCTATCTCTTAACACCATCCATATTGGATTTCTATTTGCCATATATTTTTCAACTGTACTGTGATGTTTTACAAAAGTTCTGAACCTTTCTATTCTCATAGTTTCTACAGTTTGTGAATTGAAAATAAACATCTTTGCTAAAAGTATTATTATATTATTGATCGATTGACTATGACTTTTCAGATCACCCAGTAGTGCTATCTGCAGGGTCAGCTCCATGCAAAGGAGCTGACCCCGTCGATGTTAATGGGGGCCTGTTCGGCCCTCCTCTTCCTGTAGTCCACGATCAGCTCCTTTGCCTTGCTCACGTTGAGGGAGTTTGTTGTCCTGGCACCACACTGCCAGGTCTCTGACCTCCCTATAGGCTGTCTCATCGTTGTCGGTGATGAGGCCTACCACTGTTGTGTCGTCAGCAAACTTTGTGGGCACTATGGTGTTGAACGCTGAGCTGTAGTCAATGAACAGCATTCTCACATAGGAGTTCCTTTTGTCCAGGTGGGAAAGGGCAGTGTGGAGTGCGATTGAGATTGCGTCATCTGTGGATCTGTTGGCGTGGTATGCGAATTGGAGTGGGTCTAGGGTAGGGTTGCCCAACCCTGTTCCTGGAGAGCTACCCTCCTGTAGGTTTTTGCTCCAACCACAGGTGTTACTAACCTGATTCATCTTATCAACCTGCTAATTATTAGAATCAGGTGTGCTAGATTAGGGTTGGAGCAAAAACCTACAGGACGGTAGCTCTCCAGGAACAGGGTTGGGCAGTCCTGGTCTAGGGTTTCCAGGATGATGGTGTTGATGTGAGCCATGACCAGCCTTTCAAAGCACTTCATGGCTACCAACGTGAGTGCAACGGGGCGGTAGTCATTTAGGCAGGTTACCTTCGCTTTCTTGGGCACACTCGTAACAACTATATCGGTACACTCGTAACAACCTAAGCATTACGAAACTTCTATTCAATCAAATAAACCTCACGTATCAAATAGCCATTCCTTTTTTTGTTGACCAAATTCCACACTCTCATTGACCTCCATCCAAAAACTCCTTGCTTGGTGGGCGAGAAAAACACCACCTGCTGGAGGGAGACAGATTTTCAGCTGAGTTGGGCCTCTCTTTACCTCTTCCTGTCTGCTTGAATGCAACCACTAACTAGTTGTCTTGAACACAGCTCCCTAGCAACTCAACAAGCACCAGCTGATACTAATTCAGCTTCCAAGCCTGTTTGCAACACTTTAACTAGTTGCCTTGAACACAGGTCCTCAACAAGTATCAGCTGCAACTCATTGCTCTTCAGCCTCCACACACCTGTCATCACTCTCCTTAATCACCACTGCCATCCTACTTAAACATGACCAAACTAACAATCCTCTTCGTTCTGCAGTGCGACACTGTGCATTTCTAGCCTTATTGAGTTTTGCTGAGCAAGTTCTCTGCTCATCAAGTTAATTGTAAGCTTTTGTAGTGATGGGAAAACTAAGCTTCCTGATGCATTGAGCATGTCCAGCCAATTGTCACGAATAGGTTAATTCCTTGAGGCTTTGATCCACAGTACCAAATTATTATAGATGTTGCATAGACCATAGTGCGTGCGCAGGGTAGCCTGTCTTCTACCGAAACCAATACCAAACCAGTCAGGTGGTGGTTCGACAAAACCAAGCCAATTCTTATAGTGATACAAGCTTCAGCACACTGCTTCAAAGTAAACTGCTTAGCGATTTCGACGCATGCCGGTATCAAAGGTAACGTCACTCATCTTTTGTTGCATTTCTCTCACCTGCTCCCATCAGGTCTCATTCACTAACCTCTACTCAGTGGTGTAAAAATACTTGGTACTAGTTAAGTAGTTTTTTGGGGTAGCTGTACTTTACTATTTATATTTTTGACAACTTTCACAAAAGACAATTATGTACTTTTTACTCCATACATTATACCTGACACCCAAAAGTACTCGTTACATTTTGAATGCTTAGCAGGACAATAAAATGGTCTCATCCCTACAGCCTCTTATCTGGTTGACTCACTAAACACATACTTTGTTTGTAAATGTCAGTGTGGGAGCGTGCCCCTGATTTTATTTTTATGACGTTTGCTTAATATAAAGACTTCGAAATTATTTTTTACTTTTGATACTTAAGTATATCAATTACCTTTACTTTTGATCCTTAAGTATATTTAAAACCAAATGCTTTTAGACTTTTACTCAAGTAGTATTTTACTGGGTGACTCACTTTTCCTGGAGTCATTTTCTAAAGATATCTTAACTTTTACTTTATGACAATTGGGTACTTTTTCCACCACTGCCTCTACTCTGCTAGTCTCTCAACCTCGCTGTTGAAATCAGTTGGCTCTTGGCGTTTCATGCTTTAGTCTTATTTTGTTTCAAGCTTTTATGTTCCTCATATCACAGATCAGCAAGCTACCTGCATTCACAACACTTCCTCTCCGCCAAGCCGGCCAGCTCTGCAGGCTATTCCCAGCGTGCTCTCCCGAGCACATTTCCCAACTATCCACGGCCATGCTTCACCGAACGCACCAGCGTATCTCCCGGCCGCATGCCCCACTCCTCGATGGACCTGTGAGGCTGTGCCACCAGCCATCGCTTCCTTAGTCTCGGCTATTCAACCATCGCCGGTACAGTAATTCCTTTTCAATACATTCTGTATTAATTTCCAATCACGTTAAGAGTAATTGATAACTGCTTGGCACTCTTTATTAATGCCATTAAAGCTTGTCCAGGGTCACGTGTGTCACAGTCCATGTGACGACAGGCCACACATAGTATCAGATTGCATCAGTTTGTTGCAAATTCACCATATATTGGCCACATCCTGCAGACCAGCCGCCTTAGAAATGCCATCTTCATGTAATTGCATGGTGTCCAGCCAGCCATGCTTGTTCCCTCATGTCGCTTTTCTTCCACTAAACTACTTCTCCCGTTGACTATGGCTTCCCCTCCTGCCAGGACCACATCCACCCATGTTGACTACCGCATGATAACACCACGCACCAGAGGGCCACCGTGATGACATCCACTGCTGCATTCATTCCAACTCTGCCTCCAATCCTCATATCAGGCCTTAAAGGCCCCCAAACCAGCTCTGGACCTGGCTTCTCTCCCACCTTCAGATTACAACTTGGCATCCGACACCGCTTAAGTCCCTGCAGCTTTCGCACTCCCCCCTCTCTAATACCTGACACAGGTACACGGCCCCCTCCCACTGGACACTGACCGCTGTTCCGGCAGTGGCTCACCTTCCCTCTCTGCCAGCAACTGACTATCTCTCAGCATACTGCTTCCTCTACCCTATCCTCTCACCAGCGGTGCGACTGGTTTTCTGGTTGCCTGCTCTCCCCCCTCAGGTTACACTGGCCCTGTGACTGCTGCTACGGCAGCAGTTCACCCTCCATCTTCCAGTGTTGACCTCCTCTTTTCCCTCAGGTTTCGCTGACCTTGCCTGTGATATCTTCATAGCCTCTGGTTCCACTCCCCAGCTGCGACCCTGTCCCAGTTCAGTGAACCGACTGCCTTTGTCCAGTCTTCACTGCTGGCCTCCTAGCCTGCGCTCTCTCTCCCTCTCAGGTCCCGCCTGCCCAGTGTCCGCTGTTACAGTAGCGGCTCACCCCTCTCTCTGCCAGTGACGACCTCTCTCCTCACCTCGGGCCCCGTGCAGCGGCTCACCCCCTCTCTACCCGTGTCGTCCTCTCTCCTCACCTCGGGCCCCGTGCAGCGGCTCACCCCCTCTCTACCCGTGTCGTCCTCTCTCCCCACCTCAGGCCCTGCTGGCCTGTGACCACTGCTCCCATGGTGACACACCCACCTTCTCCACCAGCGACAACCTCCATTTTTGCCTCTGGTCCCACTGGTCCTGTGACCTCCACCCCTGCAGTCTCACATTCTACTCTGCCGGTAACGTCCGCTGAGCCAGCTATATGTGCCTGCTGCGGATTGGCCGTTCCTCACAGCTGTGTCCTTCGCTCAATTCAGTGCGCCGATTGCCTCTGTTTCTTCCTCCACCCAACACACTCTACTTCAATTTGCATCCAGTCTCTTCCTCGTGTCGCCAGCAGATCCTACAAGGTCCCGCTGGCCCCTCTCTCTGCCAGTGACAACCTCTCTCCCCACCTCGTGTCACTCCGGCCCAGTCCTTGGCCTTCTCATACTACAGAGATGTCATCTGCTCGGCTCACCCTTCTCATCGTTAGGAGTTGGATGACTACCACTCCATCATTATGGATCTGGCCATTCGTTTTGGTGGCGCAACAATCTAAAACTGCCATTGCCTGTTCGGCTTTCACTGCCCACAGGCTTCTGCAGTGGAATGTCATCACGTACTGGGGCTCTCGACAGCTGTACTGTAGCCTCTTCGCCTGCAGGTTGTCCATCCCACCCTTCCTGCATCCTGTCTGCCCTGACACCAGTAGCTCCTAATGCATCCCCCACACTGCCTGTTGCTCCGCTCCCCTTCCTTCTGGAATGAACTCACATCTCAGCCAGTTACGTACCAACTGCTCCTGCAGCGGTTCGGCCCCTGGTTTTACCAGCTGAGACCCTCTCCTAGATCAGTGAATCAACTGCCTCTGTTCAAGTCTTCAACAGCAAGCCACAGCCTCGCCAAAGTCTGCCACCCCCCCCCTCGTCGCCAGCCCATCACTATTGACATCCTATCTGCCTGCATCCAGATGCTGAGACCAGGATATGTCTCCAATCCAGTCTCTGGGATAGATTTTTCTTTTGCCGTTCTTTAGCTTCCTGCAATGTTTTTGAGTTTAGATCATCTATCTACATCCCTTATCTCAGCATGATAGACATCACCATCCTCGACAAACACGCATTCACCAAAGTAAACTGATCAATTTGGAAGAACCACATCAGTCTACCTGTTCCAGCTACAATCTACCCTCAGCCCTAACGAACCCTCCCCTACTTCCTACAGCCCAGACAATCCTAACATGCCTCTCCATCCGATCATTATTCATCAACGAATCTGGTTCCATCGCCTCTACAATATTTCCAATCTGAGACGAACTATCCCTGTACGGCTATCCTGCTGACCAATTCATCGGACACTCTTTCCGCATCGGAGCTGCATCCATGGCATCTCAACACGGCATCCCAGACACCATCCAACTCCTCGGATGCTGGTCCTCTCAAGCCCATCATTCCTACATCTGCTCTGATCTCAACAGCCCACAACATCCTCATCTCTCAGAACCTGCATTAACTCAAACAGCCTTACAGTCCCTGCCTCATTTCACGGACACAGTCTACCTCACGCACCGAATCCTACCCAACCAGCCAAAAGCGGCTTGGCTCCCCAACTGAGCCTGGTTCCGCAAGGTATTTTTTTTCTCCTTCCCACTGTCGCTTCTGCTTGCTCTCCTGAGGTCTAATGTTGGGTCACTGTGGGCATCTCATCCATATGCCTGTACTACCTCAACTACACTGCTCAAAAAAATAAAGGGAACACTTAAACAACACAATGTAACTCCAAGTCAATCACACTTCTGTGAAATCAAACTGTCCACTTAGGAAGCAACACTGATTGACAATACATTTCACATGCTGTTGTGCAAATGGAATAGACAACAGGTGGAAATTATAGGCAATTAGCAAGACACCCCCAATAAAGAAGTGGTTCTGCAGGTGGTGACCACAGACCACTTCTCAGTTCCTATGCTTCCTGGCTGATGTTTTGGTCACTTTTGAATGCTGGCGGTGCTTTCACTCTAGTGGTAGCATGAGACGGAGTCTACAACCTGCACAAGTGGCTCAGGTAGTGCAGCTCATCCAGGATGGCACATCAATGCGAGCTGTGGCAAGAAGGTTTGCTGTGTCTGTCAGCATAGTGTCCAGAGCATGGCGGCGCTACCAGGAGACAGGCCAGTACATCAGGAGACGTGGAGGAGGCCGTAGGAGGGCAACAACCCAGCAGCAGGACCGCTACCTCCGCCTTTGTGCAAGGAGGAGCAGGAGGAGCACTGCCAGAGCCCTGCAAAATGACCTCCAGCAGGCCACAAATGTGCATGTGTCTGCTCAAACGGTCAGAAACAGACTCCATGAGGGTGGTATGAGGGCCCGACGTCCACAGGTGGGGGTTGTGCTTACAGCCCAACACTGTGCAGGACGTTTGGCATTTGCCAGAGAACACCAAGATTGGCAAATTCGCCACTGGCGCCCTGTGCTCTTCACAGATGAAAGCAGGTTCACACTGAGCACATGACAGTCTGGAGACGCCGTGGAGAACGTTATGCTGCCTGCAACATCCTCCAGCATGACCGGTTTGGCGGTGGGTCAGTCATGGTGTGGGGTGGCATTTCTTTGGGGGGGCCGCCCTCCATGTGCTCGCCAGAGGTAGCCTGACTGCCATTAGGTACCGAGATGAGATCCTCAGACCCCTTGTGAGACCATATGCTGGTGCGGTTGGCCCTGGGTTCCTCCTAATGCAAGATAATGCTAGACCTCATGTGGATGGAGTGTGTCAGCAGTTCCTGCAAGAGGAAGGCATTGATGCTATGGACTGGCCCGCCCGTTCCCCAGACCTGAATCCAATTGAGCACATCTGGGACATCATGTCTCGCTCCATCCACCAACGCCACGTTGCACCACAGACTGTCCAGGAGTTGGCGGATGCTTTAGTCCAGGTCTGGGAGGAGATCCCTCAGGAGACCATCCGCCACCTCATCAGGAGCATGCCCAGGCGTTGTAGGGAGGTCATACAGGCACGTGGAGGCCACACACACTACTGAGCCTCATTTTGACTTGTTTTAAGGACATTACATCAAAGTTGGATCAGCCTGTAGTGTGGTTTTCCACTTTAATTTTGAGGGTGACTCCAAATCCAGACCTCCATGGGTTGTTACATTTGATTTCCATTGATAATTTTTGTGTGATTTTGTTGTCAGCACATTCAACTATGTAAAGAAAAAAGTATTTAATAAGATTATTTCATTCATTCAGATCTAGGATGTGTTGTTTAAGTGTTCCCTTTATTTTTCTGAGCAGTGTATATCACCAATGACTCGGCACCTGCAGTCCAGAACAGCTCACTTCTTCTCAAGGGTCTGACTAACTTGGAGTTCTCTTTTTGGTGATTGCCATCACCACAGCAGCCTAACTACCAGGGCCTGATGATGATGTCTGAGACTCCAAGCCAAACTCTACAGAGTAGGGTTGGGCTGATAACATTCAATCGAATATCGTGATATTTGACATTGACAATATATTGTGAAGTGCAAGACAATACATCGTGATGTGCAAGACTATACTCTATTTTACATTTACAAATCAAAACTGCAGTTTTATGAATTAGGCTATATCTACAATGCATTTGGAAATTATTCAGACGCCTTGAATTTTTCCACAATCTACACACAATACCCCATAATGCGAAAACAGGGTGTTTTAGAAATGTGTTAATTTGTCAAAAAAACTAAAACATAACCTTACGTAATAAGTATTCAGACCCTTTGCTGTGAGACTTGAAATTGAGCTCCGGTGCATCCTGTTTCCATTGATCATCCTTGATGTTTCTACAACTTGATTAGTCCACCTGTGGTCAATGACAACTTGGATGAAATATTACTGAGGATAATAGCG